TCCGCCCCGACCCCGTCGGGCAGCCCGCCGCCCGGCCAGCAGCCCGCCTGTAAGCCAGCGACCTCGCCCCTCGGCCTCGACGGCCCCTTCCGTCGGGCCACTGCGCCGGTCGGTCTGCGGAGGTGCGCGCGCGCGCTTGCCGCTCGCGCGCTGCAGCGCGCCCTTTGCCGCCGAGCCCCGCCAACGCCGCGCCGACGAGGAGGTGGCCTGTCCCTGGTGCCACCCAGCCATGCTTCTATCGGGGCTCAAGAGACGGGGGTCATTGCGAAGGGGGGTCAGCCATGGCGCCAGATCTTGCAGGGCACTGCAGAGCCAGGGTTGCACTGACCCGGATTAGCTCGCAGATCCTGCAGGATCCTGCAGGATGTTGCAGGTCTGCGATGCCCGACTGATCCGGGTTTGCGTTCACTTAGGTCGGTAGACGGTAGACCCCCGATTCCAGGATGGAGAGCGCGTTCTGTGGACGCTGGGGGTGGGTGGGTTGGGCGGGGGGGTTCGAACCGGAGGGGGCTTTCTTGCGTGGGTAGTTGTCTCAATTGAACTCGAGCTATGGGCAAGCTAAGGAGCTGTCAAGCATTTTTCCATGAAACCGCACACCCCCGCGCGCGCTGAATGCGAGATTGCCGCGCTCGCATGCCATTCATACATATATATATATATACACGTGGCATGACCAAGGTTGACGGTAACCAAGGTTGACGGTTTACCGCCCTTCCTTTACCGCTCTTCCTATAAGAGTAATTCGAAAACGCTGGCGGGTCGCTGCCTGATGGCGGCACTCGAGCCGGGCTGCTTCGCGCACGTGAGTTACGACGAGGCGGGGCCCGACGGCAAGCTGTGGCACGAGCGTCTCGTGCTGGCTTCGGTCACGTCCAGCCAGTACATGGTGCTCTCGCCAGACTACGACATGTTCATCGAGCAGGTCGACGCCGCGAGCATGGACGTCAGCGGCTTGACGTTCGGGGTCGCGGGCGGCGCCTTGCCGCTGGGTTTCTCTGGGGGCCAGGTGTACCGCTTCGCCGTGGCCCCGACGCCAGCCGAGCGCGTGGCGCTGCTGGCGGAGGGCGCGTCGGCGGCTGTCGTTGATCAGCAGGCGCGCGGGCTGGCTCAGCCCGCTGGCGTGGCCGCGGCTGGCGGGGTCGGGGGTATCGCTCCCGCAGTGGTGCCTTTGCCCCTCCCAGCGCCGCCGGCCGTGCCGGTGGCCAGGGCGCCGCCGCCGCCCCCGCCCGCGCCGCGGCTGGGGGGGGGCGGGCGGCACGTGGGTGCTCGGCGTCCCCAGCAAGGACCACACCGTCGGTCAGGAGGTGGCGCTGCCTGTAGCTGCGCTGGACGTCGGGGGGCGCTTGGTGGTGACGGCCGACGGCGAGTTCTGCGCGGTGACAAGGCTCGAGACGGGCACGGTCGTGGAACGCTAGGCACGCGACCAGCAGGGGCTCCTCCAGCGGGACGAGCAGCGATTGCTGTCCCGCGCCCGGGCCGAGGAGGTCCTTCCCCTCGTGGGCGACGCCCGTCTCCTCGTCCGCGATGCCAAGGTGCCCATCCGCCTGTGCGGTCCTGCCACGGTGGGCGACGCGGTCGCTGGGCTGCTGGCGCGGGCGCCGGGCGGCCTGCAGGCTTCCCACGAGCGCTGGCTGGTCGAGTCGAGGGTCAACTGGCTCGCGCTCGGCGCACGAGCATCGCGTGATCTTGAAGGCGCTCGAGCTGGCCGTCGACGCCGACGGGCTCAACGGCTCAACATCGCCAACCTCGCTTCCATGGAGTACCAGAACCGCCGCCGCCAGCCGCTGGTGGAGGCTCACGTCAAGGACCCAGAGATGGGGGCGGGGGCCCACCACCTCCAAGGAGGCGGCGTCGGAGTCCTGCCGCGAGGCGGCCATCGACAGGGAGCGCCGCGAGACCAAGGAGCCCCCTCCCCTCAGGGGGGGGGGGTCGAACCGGGGGGGGGTGGGCACCCTGAATTGTAAGGAGTGGGGGTTCGAATTGGGGGGCCCCCCTTCTTTCCCAGTGGCAACAGACGACGGCGAACGCGCGCACTGGCGCTGGTGCCGTCGGGCAGCGACGACGACGACGACGACGACGACGACGACGACGACGACGACCACGACGACGATCGAGCCTTGGTAGGTTGCTTTTGAGGCTGGATCGAGCCCTCGTAGAATTGCGTTACAGCTGGATTTAGCCATACTAGGATTCCAGCTGAGCTTGACCTAGCTATAGCTTGATCGAACCTCCATAGGAGTGAATTAGAGTTGGGTCGCAATTAGTAGGAGCCCATTAGAGTTGGATCGAACTCGACTAGAATGTTATTAGAGTTGGGTCCAGCTATCGTGGGACTCTACTCGAGCTGGATCGAGCTTCGACAAGATTCAGTGAAGGCTGGATCCAGGGATCCAGCTATAGTAGGATTGTTTTTTTCAGTTGGATCGAGCCCAACTGGCATGTTATTAAAATTGGGTCCAGCTACAGTAGGACAGTCTTTGATATTGATCATGCAGTCATAGGGTTTTTTTCGGGGAAGAGGGGGGAGCCCATCCCCGGTTAAATGGGCCCGTGTCTGCCCCCTCCCCGCTGGTTCTCCGGGTGCTTCAAATCAAAGTGTTAACGCTTCGCGAATCCCACCAGCTTTTCCCGCTCCGTGGCTCGTTTCGTGGTGTGCGCTACTGGTCGGACCGCCCACGCCGTCGGCGTTAGCGGGAAGTCTCGTGGTTCTCGTTGGCCCGATGGCCCAGATGCGTATGGCGTTGTCTCTCTCCATCGTCCGCCTGGTCCCTGTTCGTCCCAGTCGCCATCTGTGGCCGGACGACTGCGGACCGCCCCCCCTTCAACGGGGCTTTGGTGTGCGAGTTCGGTGGCGCCACCACCCGCACCTGCTGGACCATGGTGGGCATCTCGTTCAATCCGTTCACCGATTTGCCGTCACCCTGGTCACATCTTGGTGCTACTGCGCGCCATTTTGGCTGCGCTCCAGCTTCAGTTGGCCAATTCACGCGCACTCAATTCGTTTACTTGGTGGTTCAGGCCTCCACGGTTCAGGCCACCCTGGCAGCCTGTCAGTTTGCAGCGGTTGTCCAGTTCTCTGTAGTTCAATTCACACCCGGCAGCCTGCAGCCCCTGGCAGTCAGCAGCCCCTGGCAGTCAGCAGCGCGCTTGCAGCTCGGTGCACGCTTGCAGCCACTGGCAGCTTGCAGCCCACTGCCCCCCCCTCGGCCCCTTCCTGGTCTCGGCCTGAGTTGCGGCGGTAGGCCTGTTCGTGCTAGGTAATTGAGGACCTCGCGCGGCCCGCTCGGACCTTGACACGCGGTCGGCGCGCTCGCCTGCGGCTGGCTACAAAAGGATCCCCACCAGCCCATCCAGAAACGATGCCCAGAGGAATTGCCTCGATCAGGGAAGTGGGCAGCACACAGAGGAAGCCTGAGACATCTTGGGATATCTTGAGCCATCTTGGAGGTCATTTTGGGCTCTCTCCGGCGCTCTTGATCTTAATCAGCGCCCCCCCCAAATGCCAACATGTGGCTAAAACCTGCTTGAAATTAATGATTTGGCATTTTCGCCGAGGCCTCTTGGAGCATCTTGGGTGCCTCTGGGGGGTCTCTTGGGGCCTCTTGGGGGTCTCTTGGGGGTCTCCTGGGGGCCTCTTCGGGGCCTCTTCGGGCCATGTAGGGGCCATCTTGGGGCCATCTTGGGACCTCCTGGGGCCTCCTGGGCGCTTCTTGGGGCCATCTTGGGTGAGATCGATCACAGGAGGGGGGGTGCTAATTAGCCCCCCCCCCCCAGGAGGCCAACATGGGGCCAAAATCCGAGTAAAACGAATGATTTAGGCTTCCTCGCCGAGGCCGTTTTGGACGCTCCGACGACTCGCAAAACCCCCTTTCCAGGTCCATGGGGAGGGGGTAGCGGGAGGGGTAAACCCTTCCCCGAAGGGGAAGAAGGAGGGATGGAAGAGGAAACGCCCTAAACCACCGACGCCCAGAAGGCTGGTGGGATTTCTAAGTTGCCCCCCTTCTGCCTTGGTTCTGGCGTGACGTGTCCATGCTTTTTTCCAAGTGAGCGTCCGCGAATCGCGTTCTTTCATAGGATGCGTGCGTCGGTCCTGCAGGGGCGACGCGCGCGCGCTCAGGAGTTCTTATTGTACTAGCTCCGTGGCGGCGGACGTGAATTTCCAACAGAGGCACGTAGTACTAGTATGTCCTTCCCACTGCCGCCTTGCGCCCGACCGAGCGCTAGCGCGAACCGCATTGTGCCAAACTGGATGCTCCGCGCACGGAGGAGGGGGATGGGGATGAAGATGAGGATGAGGATGATGAGGGAAAGTGACGGATGCTGGTGGTGGGCTGATTTCCACGGTCGGGAAGGTCAGTATGACGATGGCGATGACGATGATTATTGGTGATGATGTTGACGCAGCCAGTGATACGTGCAAAGAGCATGCTGCTGGTGATGACGATTGTGACGATGCTGACATTCGCTGGATTTCGAGGAGGAGGAGGCTCCTTCTCCTCCTCTCCTCCTCCTCCTCCTCCTCCTCCTCCTCCTCCTCCTCCTCCACTTTCACCCCTCCTCCTTCCTCAGGATCCGCGGTAAGCTTATCTCGTTCGAAGGCCTCTTCCGGCTGCCTCGGATCTCCCACGGTGCAGCCCAAGACGGCGAGCTCAGGGCCGCCTGTGGGCTCAGGAGCGGCCCTGACCTTCTGGCCGTTCCCCGGTCCCGGGTCGGGGAGCCTGTTCGTGGCCGAGGGTCGCCGTGGCCGGGGGAGCCTTCCTTCGCTCCTTGCTCGGCGTTCGTCACGGCATCACGATGGCTGCACCCCGAACCTCTTGCGCGTGGGCGCTGGCGATGCTGGAATCGGCGATTCGGGGGAGCGCCTACGATCTTGTCCAGCTCTGGAGCCCCAGATGGGGCCAGACTCCGTCGAGTTCCCCGCCCTCGTCCGTCGAAGCGCCGCCGACGTCGACACTGCACCCCCGCGCGCGTTCCAGCTCCCTCGGCCGGACGATTCGGAGGACATCAGCTTGACGCAAGTCTCGGAGCGGAGACGCATGTTGGCCTTCGCGAACATCTCGGTGTTGAGATGGTTGACCCACGACAACGTCACGTACGAGGTGGGCTGGGAAGCCGAAAAGCAGGGCGGCGAGGCTGATTGCAGATTGGTATGGGGGCGGGCGCAGGGAGGGAGACAGCGGACGAGCGGCAGAAAGGTGGAGGAGGAGGGAGAGAGAGAGAGAGAGAGAACAAGAGAGAGATAAACGACTGTGCGGACACCGTCGCGCTACGCACTGACGGGCACGCCAGAAAGGCCAGGCTCCTTTGGGCCTGACCACACGCAGCGCTGCGCCAGCCCCAAAGGGCCCACGGAAGGCGGGATCATGGCGGGGAAGGCGCGAGAGCGCACGACTATGTGCCACGCGAAGCGTGAATATTCCCAACACTTCCGTATGACAACGCACCATCGAAGGAAAAGTCTCAAAACGAGTTAAGACATGAACGCGCCATGATACAAACAGCACAATTTTGAGACCATGCAACAGAAACGTGGACGGTCGAAAACAATCACGGACTCTAGGAGCGGGTGAGATTTGACTAGAGTCCTAGACAGTGGACCTCTGGATCTTCAACCCTGAGGCGCCTGACTTGCTGAATCGATTCGTACTTACGCTTGTCGGAAGGATGCTTGAGCTTGTTCACACGGTCGATGTGCACCGCAGACCTGGCCGAATACGGAGGTGGTGGGCATTTGACCTTGAGACAAGTCGAAGAACTTCTTGTGGTGATGCCTCCACATTTCAGACAGATTATAACGGGGCCTGGAGCAACGTAAAGCTTGTGGCCTCGACCCGAGGCTGGAGGCACATCGTCAGGCACAGGAAGCGGCTGGTCGGGTGCTGGGTGGTCTTTCTTGGCAAACCTCAGAGTTTTTGTGCTCGGACCGCGCTCGCGCTGAGGGAGGGGCTCGGACGGAGGCTCAGGACGGAGGATTCTCGCAGCAGTTTGCTTCGGCGGCTCGAGACTTCGAATGGTGTCGGCGGCGGGCTCACTCACCGGGCTTCCGAAACTGACAGCGGTATGGCCACCTGGGCCTATGCGAGGCCTCACATTTCGCACGGTGGGCCTACGCGAGGCCTCCCTTCTCCCCTCGCTCTCCTCCTGCTCCCATCTCCTGACTGGTGACGTTCGCCCGGCCGGCCACTGTAGCGCGCTGCCGCTTTCGCGCCCAAGCTCGCTCTCGATGGGTGCGGTTGTAGCCCCCATGCTGGGAAGCGGATCTAAAGCCGAATGCTTTTGGACGGGCATCGTGCGCTTGAGCTCCGCGGCCGTGTTCATGGAAAAATATTTCGGATGGTGTGCGAGAGCGATCTCTGCCTCGGCGCTCTCATGCCCTCCCGCTCCCCACGAAAGGACGGCGGAACGAAAGTCACCCCTACCCCGTCACCCGTCCCTTCATCGTCGGAACTCGCGCCTTGGGGCCGCTTGGCATGGCGATCCTCCGAGCGAACTTCCTGGGCAGTCGGCTGCTCGTGGCAGGGTGCTGCGCCCGGGCGTCTTCGTGCTGATCCCTCCCAGGACGACCATCACGACAGAATGGCGACGAAGCTCCCGAGTCCACCGTCCCCGCTCCCGCAGCGGCAGCAGGGAGGGAGGCGACAAGGGCAGTCCTCGCCGCAGGTTGCTCGTCATCGGAGGTGCGGGACTGCGGGGAGACGTCGTCCTCGAGGCCGCAGTCGTCCTGGATATCGCAAGGATGTCCTCTGTCATCCGTTCTGTTCGTGATAACCATGACAGTAATGACCGACGACGTTGGTTCCCAACCTGCAGCAGAAAGCCGAGCACTCTGGGACACTGGATCCCTCTCTGTCCTGCTGTACGCGGACGACGCGCTGATTCTGGGGAGACGAAGCGGGGAGTGGAAAACAAATTAGCTGCGATACAGAGTTCTGGGAAATCTAATGTCATGGAGTTGCGCCCGGACAAACTCCAACTGCTGCAAATCAGATGTGCAAGCAGTATTCAGGATTCGAATAGAAACGTCATACCAGCGCAAAAAGATGATTTATTCGGATGCTTTGATTTCTGGAACAGGCGCCGCAGGCAAGGAGCTCAGTCGCCGCCTGGGTGCGGCGCGCGCCGGCTTTGACAGGTTTTCCAAGATATGGCGACATTCAGGTTTGAGCAGGCACAGGAAAATTGAGGTCTACAAGACCGTCGTTCTTGGCAAGCTCACGTATGGTCTATCGACTCTGTGGCCGGAGAGAAGGCGGTAGGACGGCTTACATTGCGGGTATCTTCGCGTCACGTGGGGAATCGAGCCAGCATGCACTTCCAGAGTGAGCAACGTGATCGTTTTAGACAGAACGTGGCAACCCCCTCTGACAGATGCACAGGTACGACAGCAGCTTCTCATACTCGGCAAAATCGCCAGGACACCAGAAGGGAGCCTCCTCATGAAGGCCACTTTCTGTCCTGGAAGTTTCAGACCGGCAGCAGACCAGTACGTGAGAAAGGTTGGCAGGCACGCGCAGACTGGACAAACGAGGTGCTACGCGTCGCTTGCGCGGCGGCAGGCGGCGTGCCAAATTTAGCACCACTCTTGGCTAATGGAGTTTCCTGGCGGCAAGTCGCACGCGCAGCAAAGCTGACCGTGTAACGCAGTGCGGCCCGATCTTTAGTTTCTAGTTTGCAGCATTCCAGCCCGGTGTCCTACGCACCTCCGTGTGTATGACCTTTCGATTGCTTGCGCCCCGCTCGCAAAGTGTCGACATGGCCTTCCAAGGCCTTTGCGTCCGTACCGCGCATCCTTTTTCCCCATATCCTAAGTATGGGGTTCTTGTTATTGGCGGACCGCGCCGGAAGAACAGTCAGTCAGTCAGAACACCTCACCTCGCCTCCCTCACTCAGACTCACTCAGACTCACTCAGACTCACTCATCACTCTGACTCACTCATCAGTCAGACTCACTCATCACTCAGACTCACTCATCATCACTCAGACTCACTCATCACTCAGAGTCACTCATCACTCAGACTCACGCACCACTCAGACTCACTCAGACTCGTTCTGAGTGATGACTGAGTGGGGTTCTTGTTCCCCGTATCCTAAGAGTCAGTCATCTCTCAGACTTACTCATCACTCAGACTCACTCATCAACCAGACTCACTCATCACTCAGATTCACTCACCACTCAGTCATCACTTAGACGGCCCCGAGAATAACTCATCACTCAGACTCGGTCCACTCATCAGATGACTCACACACACTGATGTTGAGGATGTCTCAGGCGATTCTGTGGCTTCAGCACTCCTAAGGGGGGCGGCGGGGGGTGGTTTCACGGGGTCCCGTTCGCGGAATTTGGTGGGGATGTCTCAGGCGGTTTTGGTTTTCCCCCATATCCTAAGTATGGGGTTCTTGTTATTGGCGGACCGCGCCGGAAGAACAGTCAGTCAGTCAGAACACCTCACTTCACCTCCCTCACTCAGACTCACTCAGACTCACTCATCACTCTGACTCACTCATCAGTCAGACTCACTCATCACTCATACTCATTCATCATCGTTCAGACTCACTCATCACTCAGAGTCACTCATCACTCAGACTCACGCATCAGTCAGACTCATTCAGACTCGTTCTGAGTGATGACTGAGTGGGGTTCTTGTTCCCCATATCCTAAGACTCAGTCATCTCTCAGACTTACTCATCACTCAGACTCACTCATCAACCAGACTCACTCATCACTCAGACTCACTCACCACTCAAACTCCCTCATGCTCAGTTTTTTCATTCAGAGTTAGTCATCACTTAGACGGCCCCGAGAATAACTCATCACTCAGACTCGGTCCACTCATCAGATGACTCACACACACTGATGTTGAGGATGTCTCAGGCGATTCTGTGGCTTCAGCACTCCTAAGGGGCGGCGCGGGGGGTGGTTTCACGGGGTCCCGTTCGCGGAATTTTGTGGGGATGTCTCAGGCGGTTTTGTTTTTTTCTGCTTCAACATGTTTCGCTTTTGGAGCAGATTTGGAGGATGTCTCAGGCGATTCGCTGGTTTCAGCACTTAAGGGGGGTGGCGGGGGGTGGTTTCACGGGGTCCCGTTCGCGGAATTTGGTGGGGATGTCTCAGGCGGTTTGGCCATTTTCTCTTCCAACCTGTTTCGTTTTCGGAGCAGATTTGGAGGAAGAGGAGGAGGAGGCAGGAGGAAGAGGAGGAGGAGGAGGAGGAAGAGGAGGAGGAGGAGGAAGAGGAGGATGAGGAGGAAGAGGAGAGGAGATGATGATGATGATGATGAAGGAGGAGGAAGAGGAAGAAGAGGAGGAGGAGGAGGAGGCTGGGGAGGAGGAGGAGGAGGAGGACGAGGCAGGGGAGGAGTAGGAGTAGGAGTAGGAGGAGGACGAGGAGGAGGACGATGATGAGGAGAAGGAGGCGAGCATGAGCACGAGTAGGATCAGGAGAAAGGGATGATGATGATGGTGATGCTGGTGATGATGATGATGATGATGATGATGATGATGGTGGTGGTGGTGGTGGTGATGATGATGATGATGATGCTGATGATGATGATGATGATGATGATGATGATGATGATGATGATGATGATGATGATGATGATGATGATGATGATGATGATGATGATGATCGCAACGACGACGGCCGCGCCGCTCTCTTGATAACCGAGGAGGAGGAGCAGGAGGAGGAGGAAGAGGAGGAGGAGGAGGAGGAGGAGGAGGAGGAGGAGGAGGAGGAAGAGGAGGAGCTCGAGAAGCCGGTGCCCTCGAGGAACACGTCATGTGTACCTGGCTTCCTGGCAGAGGAAGAGGAGGATCAGGAGGAGGAGGAGGCAGGAGGAGGAGGAGGAGGAGGAGGAAGAGGAGGATCAGGAGGAGGACGAGTGGAGGAGAAGGAGGGAAAGGAAGGTGAGGAGGGAGGGGGGGGCAGATGAGGAGGACGAAGGGGGAACTGGGAGGAGGAGGATGAGGAGGAGGAGGAGGAGGATGGAGGAAGGAGGAGGAGGAGGAGGAAGAGGAGGAGCAGGAAGGGGATGATGACGACGATGACGATGACGATGACGATGATGATGATGATGATGATGATGATGATGATGATGGTGAT